TGCGAAGGGTTGGCCATTCCTCTGAATGCCAATCTCAGATGCCCGCTCCTCTGAGCGACTCTTTTCCCTACATCTCCATGCCTGTTTTCCCTCAAACGGTCGCGCGTGTGCTGACTGCCCTCAACGCAGCCCCACTAGGTCCCCCACGTTTGCATGTCAAGTGTTTCTATGAGTGCTTGTCCCGCTCTGATACCATATGACACGGACTTAGCTGGTTTTGCCTAAGTCGTGCGGCACCCTTGCGTGTCCGTCCGCAAAGGTCAGCCTCCCCGAAGCCTCCCATTGTCCCTTAGGACCACCAAAAGAGAGAACGCCTCAATCGGGATCCACAAGCAAACATCTCCGAAAAACACTTCATAGACAATGCAAATTACAAACAGACTTTACAAGCTCTGAACAGTGGCACAACAAAGGGTAAAATGATCCATTACAGACCGAAAATCTCTTGCACGTGTCCACATGACACAACCTTTATTTACAAGCCTAAAGAGGCCACCAACCCAACTAAAATGGGACTATTAAGCCTTCGGCCGCCCCTCTATATGTTGTACAAGGCATGAACATGCCAACAGACACGGACAGATATAAGCATTACATCAAACACCTTGTTTAGAAGTTCGTCCGTGACACCAGGGGGCGAGCATTAACACCAACATAATATGCACCCTCACTCACCGTACCCAGGCGACCTCATCGTCTGACCCCCCACGATCGATCGAGGCAGGAGAAGGTGTCGACCGAGGCTCGCCATACCCTGCGGTAGCTCGGCCCTCCACGCAACGCCCACGACGACGACAGACGCCATCAGAGGTACGGCCCTGCTCCGGCAGGATGACACATCAGGTAACATCAAACTCACCTATAAACACCCCCGGGCTCCCAACAAAGAGGGGCATCCAAAAAAACTCCTCTCCGAATCGCTGACTTGATCGTCGGAGGGGTTGGGCCGAATCGCCGACCCGACCTGTGTGCAGGTACTCGATCGAAGCTGACCCTACCCGGCGTCGCGGACCTTTCCAACCAAATCCCCCGCAATCGGCCGCCACAAGATCTCGAGAGGAGCTACGCCTGATCCCAGCCATTCGGACCCCTAAACCAGCCGCGTCGACTCCAAGGTCACGGCTAAAAAAGTTATTTACCATAACAAGATCTCTGCTACTGATTGGGTCATGAATGGATTAACAGTGAATGCTACTAAAGAATTGTACACGAGATCTGTGGATGGTCAACGTCCTTAGATTAATCCTCCTTTCAGCAAGCACAGAAAGACTGTTTCGGTAGCTTGAATTCTGATGATCCAAATCCCAAAATAACAGGCACTGTGTATAGGATTTGGATCGTCTTTCCAAATCCTGAAGCTGCACAAAAAGAAACAAAACAAAATCCGAAGGTGTCCATAGTATCGGAAAACTGCAGCACGCATTGAAATGAAATCTATTGGTGATAGATCGTATAAGGAGAATGATGAGTCACGAAGCTGCATGCCAGAACGTTGAATATGGAAACAACTGGTTAAATTGAACCGTAAATACCAACAAGAAGCAGTCTGACACAGATCAAACAGGATGACATGTAGTGTCATCCAATAATCCCAGAAGAGGCTCCTTTTGTAGCTATTCTGATGACAATTCATAAGGGAAACTAATGCATCCACCTAGATCGCACATACTTAAATTGGGATGGAGCTCACTCTTCTATTTAGTCATCTGGAAATGGAGAGAGCAGAGGAGCACCTGACTCCCTTGTCACTGGTAAGATCGTCTTCGATTTCATTTCGACCAAGACAGGTCATGTTGTTATTGACACTTTGTTCAGAACTGGTTGTGCTGCTAGTGGTGAGAGGAGAGCCTGAAGCACTCACTGTCCTGCTTCTTGTGGAGCCTGACCTGACACTATACACAGACGATGCTGGAATGTTTGCCATCAATGGCCTCAGACTGTTGGGAATACTCCTCCTTATATCCTGCATTTGCAAAGGCATAAATCTCAAGTTACAACATCAATCATGAAAAACATGAGTAACAAGCTCGGAAATGCAGAATGTTCTGATAGGTAGATAGCAAAAAAGATACAGATGAAAATACAGAATACCATATGCCTGAATGCCATATCCAAAGATTGTTTTGATAGTGATCTCCCAAAGCCAGTGCTATCTGGTGAAACACAAGTTTTGCCGGAGAGGTTATCATTGGTCAGTCGTTGGTTGTCTTGCTTTGGGGGTGCCAGTCTTCTCACGTTCGCTGTGCGTTCAACCATCCTGTTACCAAGCACAACTGGGTTCGAGTTGTCGCCGTCACGTGCTTGCCGCTTGCTTGGTGCTTGAACAGAACCGCCTTTATGAGCATTACCATTAGAGACCCTTCCTCTGGATGGAGAGCAAGACTGCCTCCTTGGTCGAACATTGGGTCCAGGCTCAACAGATGATGATCGACTGCTGGGTCCTCCAGGTCTACCCCGAGAAGCTGAGGAGGGCCTCTCAGACAGTGAAGTCCTTAAGTTGGGGGGTGTATCGAGAGAAAAACCAGGAATATCTGAGGGTTTCAATGGTCGAGGTTTTATGGTCGGAGAGCTTCCACATGGTGGTGCCGAACTTCTAGATATTGTTGAACCTGACCTCGTTACAGAAGATGATCTTCTTGGTGGAGCAGAACTGACAGGTGCAGTAGATGGGGCAGAAGGTCGCCTCGTAGGCGTAGTTGACCTTGATGCAGGCTTGTTGGCCGCTGATACAGATGGCCTAGCCGTTGGTGTAGATGATCTAACAGGTGTTGATGATCGCGACGGAGGAGCTGATGATCTTGAAGGTAAAGTAGCTCGAGAAGTGGGAGTGGAAGGTCTGGCAGGTTTTGAAACAGCAGGTAATGCAGGGCTTCCAGTTGGAGTTGCAGGTCTAGATACACCATGAGTGGGTCCACCAGACGATGATGGCCTGCGAGTTGCCGCAGCAGATGAGTTCAAGACAGAGTATGATGGCGGTTGCCTCGATGCCAACAGGTTCCTTGATGGATTTGGAGCATTTGCTAACTGAAAAAGCAGAACAAAGATGCAGAAAAGTAACATTTAATCAAGGAAATGCAGCAAAGAAGCGCATTGCAGAAACATAAATATATATATGCATACACATTCTCCAACAAATATGAAAGATATTTGTTCCACTAATAATCTGGTCAGATGTATGGTTATAATTTAGTATATAATGCAAATAGAGATGTATTGCCATGACCTGGTTTGATGGGATAATTGATCTATTAAATTTTTGTCTGAACCACTGATTAAAAGTGCTTAAGTCAAATTTGCAATTGTACATCCATCAAGTCCTTATAAGTCAATTCAAATCTTTACACACGTCCAATGACAACTAAACTGAGTCATTCCATCACTGAAGTATGACCAACAAAATGTACATAAACAATAGCATTTAATATCATAAACTCAATAAAAGCAATTGACCTTTTTTACAGTAGGCCATTGTCTAAGAGATGCAAATCTTTCCAAAGTTTTCTTAACCATAAAAGTGATAGGTGCACTAATTAAAATTGTTACAAACTTTCTGACAAATGATACGGCCAAAGGAGTTCCAAGGATTAGATATTTAGTTAAGAAAACACTATTAGGTTATATGCATGCAGCTGAATGACAGGAAAAGATCAACATAACAAATACAAAAAAATTGGATTTATGACATTGTTGTTGTGAAGTTACTTCGAGCAAACAAACACCATTGGAAACTATCGTATCCATACATTTAGTAATAATAGTATGTGAATCATAAATTCATGATTTCTTTTGTGGATTCAAAGTAATATTAACCCATACACAAGATTTGTGATGTGCAAGCTCTAGATTAAAATGCTCACCCGAGATCTCAGCACTGTGGGACGAGCTTTTGGAATCCCATTCTCTCTCGTAGGAGATCTTTTAGAATCAGTATCCAAAGACAGAAAAAGTGGAGTACCTGGTGGTGTAAGAAGCCTGGCCAAAAAAGACTATGTCACAAAAGGTACAAAATAGTAATTAGCCAATCGGATAAGTCTCAGGTAAGTAAGATCTTTATGGTACTATTATAACCTCATGAATGAACCCACAATATGTAATTGTGTTTGCCAAGTCCACATATTACAAGGATCATGCCATCATATGAAATCATAATATCTGACATTAGATGCTGCCAATTTAAGAATTTATCAAAATCCATGAAGAAAATAAAAAATGTAGACAGGGAAAGATAAGATTAATGCTTTCAAATCATGCAATATGAAACATGAAACAAGTAGACACTTCTTTGTTCTCTATATATGACCATAATGCCAATCATATATCATCAACCATGAATTACTCCACATAACTACACTCTTGTCCTTCCTCCCTTTCAGCTGAATAGGTTGCTGACAGAGATAATTGTATAAATATCTCAGAAGACTGGATCTGAAGTGTTGAATTCTGTCGTATGTAGATCCGTAGGATCATGCAGTCAGACTTTAGTCTCCATTCAGTGATTCGCCATGTTAGAATATAAAAGAATAGCTCACCTACAAGATTAAGACTTTTGATGAACTAGTACTCTGGCATCAAAGCGGGAGGTCCTAAGTTCAAATCTTGCACTCTACAATTTTCTTCGCCATACGATTCACTTTCCATATTTTGTGCTTGAACCATTTAGCCAGCCCACACACTAGGAGTATTAGAATATAAATATACAAATGTCATCCCATTACAAGCTTAAGCTTTTAGAAGCTTTTACAGTAGTTATAAAGTTCATATGGCATCCTTCCTATGTCATCCATGTGCCATGTGTACACACGAGGAAAAAAAAATATAAATGATTAAACACACAAAGCTGTCAGGCGAATTCCTATTCATTTATTTTTAGTTGGTGCTGCCACTCGCAATAAATGAGTTGGTCCAACAACCTATCCATTATAGATGGAACTATGACATAAAGTGATGAGAAGCTCAAAGAAAAGTATGGATGATAAGCCTTCAAATAGGTTCAGGCTAGTAATGTCATTTGGCATTGCAGCACAACATAACAAGAACCATAGCATTGTGCGCTGCAACATAGCTTGGAGCTTTAAATTGTCATAAAGTGGTGACCTAAACTGAGGAAATAACAAACATGAAAGAAGTATAAGGGAAAAAAGAAGAAAAGAAAACCAAAATTATTGGGGAATAACAATATTGGAATGCCCAACAACAGCCACTGCTTTCAAATCTGATGCAGTGAAGCTTTACTCAAATGGACAAAGAATACTTGGACATAACTGGTATAGTTATATAAAATTGCAAGACGAAAGAAGATCGATGCATCCAACGAAATGCATCTCACCGGAAAACCAAACCGCAAGATTGACAGTAATAGAATAGGCGATGAGAAATCACATTTCTGATTTGGGTTGACGATTTTAACTCCACATGTAAGGATGACATGGATAACAAGTAGAAAGCATAATTGGAAAGCAATACATTGCGAGAGTACCAGTCATAGTCATTCTTTCCGTTGTTGGAATTCAGGAAGTCATCAATACCCGCCTTGCGCGCAGGTGCTGAAGCGCCAATCCGGAATTTGGGAGCACTGCCAGGTTTAGATCCTACAGTCCAGAACGACAAGAGCAACCAAAATGAACGCATTGCTAGCAAGTAATCTCTATAAGAAACTGGTCAATAATAGCGAGAGTGGAAGTGAAGCCTAATGAGTGTGCGTTACCCAACGGCGGATCGAGTTCGCCGGTACTGTGCAGGCGAAGGTCTCTTCGCTCCTTCTCCAGTTTCCGCATCTCGATGAAGAGGGCGAGCTCCTCGTCCGTCTCCTTCGTCAATGTGCTCCCCGGAGCTGGCCTCCTAAGGCTCCGATTCATGCTTTCTTCCATCAAACCACCGAGATACTATTTCCCCCCAGTCCAAGACACCAACCTTTTCCAAGCTATCTGAAATCGCCCGGCCGTTCAAGCTACACGTTTTCAAAATAGAAGTAGGAAATAAGGCAGATCGCGACGCTGAGCTCGCAATTGGGCGGAATGCCGAGTGTGGACGGTGGAGACGGAGCAGCTGAAGACTGCCAGCGAAAACCTGACTCCCCTGTCTGCTCACCTGGAACGGTGACAACGCCGTCGGGACTCGATTTCTCGGCAGGAGGACGGGGGAGCCAAGTCGATCGCTTTCGGATCTGGGAAATGGTCGTGGAGAGAAGGGGGAGACAGAGGCGAGCCGCCTCGCCTCCGTCGTCGGAGGGGAGGGTCGAGCGAGAAAGGAGGGCGTGCCTTCCCTGCTTACAGTAGCTCAGGAGGCGGCCCATTCAATTTTCTTTAGTTCGCGTCCAGAGTCGCGTCCCTCATTGTGTCTCCAGCTTTGAATGAAAGGGCCACGTGGACGCATCGAAACGCCCTGCCTAGCAGTTGCCATCACGAGGGCACGACGTCACCCGAAAACTCAAAACAAAAACACTTTTCCTACCCGAAATCAATTACTCCAAACGCTCCCGACTCAGATCGACACATTGGAAGGAAAAGCCTAAAAGACATATACGCGAACACCTGTCGTGCAAGGCTGCCGGTACATGATACTTCATCTCCACCCAGCGAGGCTTCGACGGGGAGGAGGAGGGCAGAGGTGTACAGGGTGCCCCGTGGATGTACCCTCGCCCTCCGGCCGCATTCGCGTCCGTGTCCAACGGCGTTGCATTGGCCCTGAGGGTGACGGAGGAGGAGGAGGAGGAGGAGCACCCGGAGCAGTTGATGAGGTGTCCGCTGGCGCTGCTGACAATGCTGTCATTGCCGTGCCGCCGCCAAGACCCACACGGCGCCCTCATGTAGGCGTGCTCTTCCTTTGATCGCAAAAATTGTAGTCATATACTTCAATTTTTTATTTTTTTATTAAATACCCCTCCAATTAAGTTAGTGATAGGGGATAAATTCATCATTTGGAATTGGCATTTGATCATTTAGTCAAATTAGGATAATAGCATCATATACATCGAGTCCCGCATGCTCTAACTGGACTCATGTTTTGGGACTCGAGAGTTTGACGTGTCGATGACATGGTGCTGATGTGTTGGGTAGACAACCCATTCATTATCTTAAGGGCTCGATCGGTCGGTATGTCAGGTACGTGTGTGACGTCGTTATCACCTTGATAAGGTTAAATAGAGGCATGCTGTGCCCTTGATAAACCCACCAAGGAAAGCCGTTCTTTGCGTTCACTTCTATGAAATCTTTTAGCTCGGTTAAGCAACTGAGTTGGGTGCTTCCGAGGTGGCATGGAAGAGACTCATTTCTTTACTGGAACGTGGGGAAGAGTGCAGGATGTGAAGACTATCATGGCACGATACCTCGTTGTTTGCCCTCTTGTTATTTCCATCTGTCTGCGCAACACTTTCTTTGAACGCACGTTCCGCTGTAATTTACACATGAAATCTTCCATGTGTCCGTTCTTTTACGGAGAGTTCGAGAGGTAGATCTGCCGGCGCCGACAGTGTCGCTTCTTATGGGCTGGCAATTTGGGACGGAGCTGAGCGCAACCTAGCACTTTTGGAATCAATGGGCCGAGGGTCAACCTATCATTTGCAAGTTGGTCGTAAGGGATAATGGAGTGATAGTTCGTTTATTATTAGTGAATGAGTAGTACCTGCGGCATCCTGCGCCAGTGGAAGCAAGCAAGTGGCGCCTCCGACGGAGAAGGTCGCTCTGACATGGTGCATGTGCGGCTGAGCGCCGCAAAGATTTGATAAACTCAGGGATTGTTCGGTGTAGTCGAGCGACGACGATGATGATGATGTCGTCGACAGCAGCAGCGGCGGCGAGTGGAGGCGGAGGCGGAGGCATCCATGGCGACGGGAGTGCGGCGAATGTGGCGCTGGTTGCGGGTGCAACCGGTCTGGTGGGCCGGGAGCTGGTGACCGCCCTCCTCCTCTCCGCCTGTTCTCGCGAATGGAAGTTGGTCTACGGTGTCGCTCGCTGTCCCCCGGAGACCGATGACGATGGTGATCGGCACGGCGACAGGTACCGCTTCGTGGCGTGCAATATGCTGGACCGCGATGAGACGATGGCGAAGCTGGGGCCACTGGGGGACCGCGTCACGCACGTCTTCTGGGTGACATGGGCGAGCCAGTTCCCGCTGAACTCTCAGGAATGCTGCGACCAGAACCGCGCGATGATCTCCAACGCCCTCGACGCCCTCCTCCTCCCCTCATGCGGTGGCGCCTTCAGGCACTTTGCCCTACAGACCGGCACCAAGCACTACACACCCCTCGAGGCGGGCGGCAGCGGTTCCGGCTGCTTCGATGAGGATAGCCCCCGGGCGGTTGGCGGAGACGTGCGCAACTTTTATTACGTGCAGGAGGACCTGCTCGAGGAGAGGCTGCGGGGGCGTCGGATAAGCTGGTCGGTGCACCGCCCAGGGCTGTTGCTGGGCGCATCTCGGAGGTCCCACTTCAACCTGGTGGGGAGCCTGTGCGTGTACGCCAGCATCTGCCGGCACCTGGGCCTCCCGTTCCTCTTCTACGGCAACAGGCTCTGCTGGGAGGAGCCGTCCCTGGACGCCTCCGACGCCAGGCTCGTCGCCCAGCAGCACATTTGGTGGGCCACCTCCTCACCGGAAGGTCGCCAAGGCGAGGCCTTCAACGCGATCAACGGCACCGCTTTCACTTGGAAGGAAGTCTGGCCATTGCTGGCCGCCAAGTTCGGGATGCTGCCGCCTGCTGTAGCGGGCACAGGCACCAGCGGCGGCGACGTGGACGCAATGTTGGAAGACCTGGTGTCGGAGAGAGCGACGTACGTGGAAGTGATGGGAGACAAGGGCGGCGCTTGGGAGGAGATCGTGGAGAAGGAAGGTTTGCGATCCACAAGGATGGAAGATCTCGCCAACTGGGGTTTCCTGGACGCCCTGTTCGGCTTACCTTTTAAGATACTGGCCAGCAACGCCAAGGCCCGTCGCCTGGGTTTCACCGCAATCTATAGGACCCCGGAATCCCTGCTCTATTGGGTGGATCGCATGAGAGAAGACCGTCTCATACCTTCTTGGTAATAGCTCCATATGTACGATCTCTTGTCTCTGTTTAGTATGGAAGGCAAGAATTGGCTCTCCCGTCGTTGGAGTTTGTCTACCGGAGAGCATAAATAGGACGTTCCTCACCGGCATGTCTTCTCCGCCCTCATCGATGATGGAAGGAGGTGCATTTTGTGCACGAATAAATTGTTCTTATAAATGTGTCTTTTTTAAGTAATTAATTTATTCAGTTGTCTAATCCAACGAGCACATTAGTATGTTGCGTTAATATATATCGGATATATATAATTCGTGTTAGAGATGAAAATTCCATGAATGCTGCATTCGCTCCACGTCACCACACAGCCAGCGCACTGCTGCAACCGGGGGTAGGCGGAGCGGCCCAGCGAGGGCCCGGTTTGATCGGGTCTAGCCCGACCTACTGACTAATCTGGTCTGGTTTGGGTTCGGTTCGAACCCATTTGAACGGAAGTTTAAATCCAATCGTGATCCCTGTCGAACGCCAATCTGAGCTCAGCCTGACCCGAACCGATTCGAATTCAGCCGAACTTTACTTCGTTCCTAGATCGATCGAACCTAGCTGGACTCCATTGAACCTGACCCAAACCCGTGCGTTGGTTTTGGGCGATCGCATCGCATCGCATCGCTCGTCGTCAGCAGCAGCGAGGCCACCATGTTGAGGAGAGGACAGGAGCTCTTTTTCTTTGCCAGGATGGGAGTCGCATAAAGGGAAATGTGAGAGAAGCAGGATGGAGAAGAAGAACTCAATCGATGTTGCTGTGGTCAAGAAAAGCTGCAACCCAGTTATTCTAGCAATCGTTATTGTAACACTAGACAAAGTTCCAACGCGACAAGGAAAACGATGAGACGAGGGAGGGGAGATGAATCACGTACACAAAAGGCATCAAACACGAATGGGGCATGGCATTAGAGCCCACCACCCGACCATTCCCTTTCTTTCGTATTAAGAAGCATTGTGGAGGAAGTCGCAGGCATCACACTACATCTAATGGCGCTGCTGCTGTGGTGCGAGGGCAGGGGCCGGCTGGGGCTTGGGGCACTGGTAGCACTTGGCGAAGAGACCGAAAGTGTCGATCTGCCTGACGAAGTTGGTGATGCTGGCCCAGCCGCCGAGGCCGAAGCCCACCACGAGCACCCACCCCACCACGAAGGCGTTCACCACGTACATCGCCGTCCAGCTTGGTAGGATGAGGGGCGGCTTCTCTGCGGCATTCTGCAAGCAACAAAGACGGATGGAGGAAGTCAGACCGATGGGGTCTTAGTGGTTGTTTGATTAGACCTGACTTCTTAGACATGGAGGAGAGGTTAAGAACACCGAAGGGGACTTCTGGCCGTCCCACCAAATGCTGCTATTGTCTCCATCAACCATTCAAAACGCCAGCCTTGGACGTGGATGGCGGCACCGAGCGAAGTTGCTGACAATTAATCGAGATTAAAGCTAAGGGCAGGGGCAACGAGGACGGTACCTGTCGTGCGGATGGTGTTCGGTAGGTGAGCATATGAGCCAGGGCCGGAATAATGTAGACGGTGAAGCTGACGAGGAGAGCCCCCACCGCGGAGTTGATGGGCCCGAAGAAAGGGAAGATGATGGCCAGGAACCAGATGGGGATGACCACCGGGAGACGGGCGAGGGCGCGCAGGCAAATGCTCCTGGTGTCGTGCATTCCGATCACCTTCTCCCACACGAAGTAGAGCGGGGTGCTGGCGAAGCCGAAGGTGATGAACTGGTGGATCAGCATGAGGATGACGGCGGCGTCCCTCCACCGCGACTTGGGCAGCAACGAGAAGGCGTTGGAGTGAGTCAGAAGCTGGTCGCCGAAGGCCCAGTACATGGCGGCCGCCGACGGCAACGTCAGCGTGAAGACGTACAGCGTGGCCAGCAGATAGATGTACTTGAACTTTTGTGGTTTCCACATGGCATGCATGATCTCCCTGCAGGTTCGCAAGAGGTACACAGTAAGTAAATCTCCAGCGATCATTATGCATGAGGGACACAGGTACGGACCGCTCCCACCATGATTGGGTCAGGAGGATTAGCTTAAACAATTAGGTCTCTGAGTTACAGCACCATCACTTAACCACCGGACAGCAGAATCTTATTGTCGAAAGGATCATCAGAAACTGGACCTAGACAATCTTCTACGCAGTGAGATAGATGATGATGATGACGACGACATGAGAAATGCATGTTACCCTAATGTTTTCTTCCTAAATTACAGTATCTAGTGCTGCTTAAGCCCCTCCTCCAATTGATCATAATCTAACAAATCATATGAAGGCTTTCGCTGCTGCTAAACAGCGTCCTACTGTAAGAGGAGAGATGATCGGTGAAACAGGGTCTCTTCCTGCCATGCGAGGTCGGCCCCATGTGCCCAGGTCATCACCGGAATCATCATGGAGCTCCCCGGCAATGGCATCGGCTCCGCCGTTTCGTCGTCTCGGCGCGAAATAGATGGGAGCAGTTAACGTGAATGGCAAACATGAGCAGCAAGAAACAGAGCACTTCTTTACTGCAATCTAAGATTGAGACTCTTGCGCTGCTACTGATCCCTATGCAGGCGGTGAAGCAAGCACTCACACGGTGACGGCATGCCCGCCGAAGGTATAGAGTATGTTGGTGGCGCCGGTGAAGTAAAGCACGAGCTTTGTTGGACCGGAGTGCACCACGCCTTCCACCTGCATCGTCCATAGGAGCAAGAGCATCTAAAGCCGGGGAAGAAACAGTGATCGACGGACAAGCCAATCACATCAGGGCTGCGGATGATGTTTACCTGGCCGTGGACGGCGGCGGCTATGGTGAGGTACCAGGCGGTGTAGGTGGTCATGCCGAGGCCGAGGAAGGACCATATCCTGTAGTTGTGGAACGAGGGTATGAACACCGTGGTGGCGCAGCAGGCGCCGAATATGTACGTCCATGTCCTCTTGTCCAGCCGATCGTTGATGTAGTATATGTTGCTACCCCACACCGAATCAAAGACCCAAAACTTGAATACACGATCAAGCAAGCAATGCGTGATAACGATGAAATCGGAACCCCAAGGGAAGGGGGAGTTGAAGCAAAGAGAGAAACCGATACCTGGCGCAGGCGATGAGCTGAATGACGGAGCCGAAGAGAAGGAAGGTACAGTTGAAGGCAAGGCCGGCGGCCTTCCAGTACGGCCCCAGCAACCCATCAAGCACCTCGTACCACTGTCACAAATGAACAGGGGCAAGCGGTCTGCTCTCAGTCGCTTTAGTGGAAGATAGTGAAACCGAGGGATTTGCTAGCTTGGAATCTCGGGAAGCTGGGTGTTGGTGGGGATAAATGGAGGGGAAGCGGAAGCTGAGGAAAGAGTAGGGTACAAGAAATTGAAGGAGGGGAACGGCAAGGGGGACCTGACCTGGATAACGTGGTTCTTGAAGCTGACGTTTTCCTTCTCCTTTCGGGTGCGGTACTCGATGTACAGTACGCTGATGAGGTAGGCAGTCCAACTTCCGAGGAAGCCGTAGAACAGCTGAAGGATCACGCCGGACAGCATCCCCAGCTGCGAGAAGGAGTACGGCAGCGTCAACAGCACCTGCGCCACCTGCAAAATCGCCACCGATACCCCACACCAACCACTCCTCCCGTCAGCGGAGAAGACGACCCTTACGAGCTATCAGAATCATGAATCAGTATCAAGTACTTGATTGGAGGCGCAGCTGAACCAGGCGTCCCAGGCGGAGCCGCCGTGCCAGAGGAGGCTCTTCATGCTGAACACCGATGCCGTCTCATCGTCCTCCTCCTTGCCGCCGCCCTGCTCTGTCTCGTTGTTGAAGGTAGTAATGCCGCTCGCCGCGATGGCAGCTTCTTCTGCTTGATTCTGTTGCGGCATCCTGCTTCTCTTCTCCCTGTGCGACGATAAGAACACCTCAATCAAAACAAGAACCATAAGGCTATTCGGAAGAGTAGAAATCGAATCGAAGCAGCTTAACCTGCTACTGCATAAGATAAATCCAAGTCTAGTGAGAATATATTGGTTGCGAGTGAGCTGATCGATACACGCGCTCTCCTTAAAACACTGTAAACTGGAATTATTGGACGAGCGTAGCGGCAGGCACAGGTTATACAGTAGACGAAGAGAGTGGCAGAAAAAGAAGGAAAGAGACAGGGAAAGAAGAAAGAAGAGAGAGAGAGAGAGATCCATTACCTTTGCGCTTCTCGTCCCAACACCTAGCGACCACGCTCCCAGCGATCTCCACGAAAGAGAAGAAATAGAGAGTGTTGTTGGCAGGCCTTTAGCTAAACCGGTCGTCTCGCCGTGTACGCTTTCTTCCTCGCAAGAACAAGCAGGCGCTCGAGACCAAGAGGGAGGAGAGGTGGAGATACTGATGCAGAGGAAAGGCCGTCTCCCTCTTGGGTTTACTGAATGGGCAATCTCCTGCAGCGGTGGGACTGTCAGGAGCGTCTCCGGGACTTGGATCCCTATGCCCAAAGGTTTCTTATGCTGCAATCATCTCCCTCTCTCTCTCCTCTCCTCTCCTCTCCTCTCTGACAGCTATCCGCTGGATTGACAACTCCAATACTGAGATCTCAATGAATAGAGAAAAGGAAAAAAAAGGAAAACATAGGTTGCTTTCCCCATTAAGGTTCGCTTTTCCTCTTGCATGGACATTATGGTCAAACATCCTCCAGTGTACCTATGCGCGTGTGTATATATATATATATATATACATACTTCACTGTGGTGTTGACTGCACCATAGAATCTGGTTGGAGATCCAATCCATATACTCCAAATTAATCAGTGATGGAAATGGGTGTCGCCATCGATTGCCACTGTTAGAACATGCCTTCAATCATATCGGACTCAAAAAAAAAAAAATTTCTAATTACAGAAATGATTTCCTTAATGAAGATGATATATGTGTATGAACAAGAAATCATGAATATGTGTTCATTTATAATGATCAAACGATCGCAAGTAAATAATGAGGAGGCCAAAGCGGATAAGTAGTTGAGGGTGGCGTGATGTCGGCGTCAACATAAACCATGGGAGGAGGAGGAATTGTTGAAGTGAGTGAGATTTGGTGCTTGTGGGCCTCTCTCTTCCTTCCACGTTCAAATCAAAGGAGAAAAAGGTGCCACACTTGCTTGCTATGGTCCCAAGACGACGGGGATCGGATATGGAGGATACCATCATCACCTGCTATGGATTTTTGGTCCCACCTCCATTATTCTTTTCATGAAATCTAGTGGTGTTATTCTCGAACAATGCTTGTAATTATAATTGTGAATGATTATATGGTCCAAATAAATAAATATATCGACTCGAATAATTCAACAAGTACGAGTCTTTTGCAGTCCAGCCCACACCATCTTCTTGTCGTAGTCATCATCCCCACCATCATCCTTCTCTCTCTCTCTCTCTCTCACTCTATCTCTATACATATAGATAGATATATATATTATTTTGGGGTATCTCCACCTACTTTTGTGATGATTAGAGATGCCAATGATGTTGAAGAGATAAAAAAAAAAGGGGAAAACATTACTGGAATGGATCATTACAAATGGTAAACATATCACATATGGCCGTGTCCCTCCTTAATTATAGAGCTTCCACATCCACCAGTGGATCGACAAGGACTAATAATAAGTTGTGGGCGCAAGAGCATGTGAATGGCGATCTCATTGTCGTGAACAGCTCGATTAGGAGCTGAAGACACATCAAATGGCATCATTGGAGAGGTGATATGACAAATTCCTCACTTGCATTTGACTCTAATCTCTCTTGACAATGACTCGTAGTGATCTTGTGATTCACTACAAACATACCACAACAAGTTCATGATCGGTTTTTCGCATTATATTACACTTAATTTTTCTTTTTATTTTCACAATGACTAATGCGAGGCTCTTATAATAACTCATCAAAGTCTCCACCAATCGAGATGGGTGGACTAAGGATGCGATCACGGCGCTGTGGGTGTGGCTGCCGATGGTTGAATCTGGTGATCGGAATGCGCGTGGCCCGTGAACGCTGCGCCGGGACCGCTCGCGGACGGGGTGGGCTCCTGCGACGCCGACGGCTTTAATGGCGTGAGGACGACCGCAGCGAGAAGGACGAGCGCAGCAACTGTACATCTAAAGAGAATGCCATCTCCGCGCAGACGCTAACGCCCCAACCACCACGAAGAAGACGGTGTTCCGTCCTGAGGAGAGGAGGACGGTAGCCTTCACCTGCTCACACAGTCCAAAAGACGTCCTCGCCAATACTCCGCTGCAGGCACTCACTTCCCGAGAGAAGGCAGCGGAGAACAACTGAGAGCTAGTCATCTTGTTGTGGCCATCCCTCTCCTCTTCTTCGTCTGCCCCACTGATTTAGATAAGGTGAGTCCACCACACGCACGGCCTCCAATTAAGAGAAGGTTGCCAGGCGAGGCCATCGTCCTCCGGCCCTTCTTAATGGGCGACAACGATACATGCCCACCACCTACTTGCGCAATACTACGTACGCTTTAGTGGTCGCAGATGGTCCGCTTCGCTGTTCTACTCGGAGCTTCAAAAGAAAGCTGGATCATGCGGCATGTTGAAGACAGCCGAAGGATGGATCTGTCAAGCCTTTTCTTACGCGCTGTTGTCGTCTCCATGACCCGGTTCACAGTGAAAGTTCCTTGGGTTGACGTCGCTGCTTTCCTAGCGAAAGGCTATTCTGAGCGAGCAACAGTGCACCATGAATCATCGTCTTGGATCGGAGATCTCCTGAACCGAGATCCGACGAACATGGAGGGTCCGACCTGCGTCCTCAAAGCAACATCTTCTCATCCTCTTCCCACCGAACGCATCGATGTGCTTTCGGTGGTGGCACAAAGCCTTGAATCGACGGCATCGACCTCTATGATCCCGAGCTCAAGTGACAGAGGACCCTGAGAGGGGAAGAAGCCTGAAAAGAAGAGAGTGAACTTGCGGGGGAAGATCGAACTAAACACAGAGAAGAGAAATAGGAGTACGCACTGACGTCGGAAGTCAGCTCAGTGAGAATGTAGAAAATTCCAACTGCAGATAATCGAATCGTCAACTCCATAAAATTATCGAATTGGAAGCGAAAAATATTCTTTTAGTAAATCCATCTATTCCTACATAGTGTGACGAGACATGCTGTGGATATCCAGCGGGAGCTTTCCAGGTTTGCTTGCACCTTGGCAGCAACTCATTCTGTGCTTTGTGCTTCAGCATTCCATTCCATTCCTCCGGAGAGAGAATTCAAACGGTAGTACCAGTCCGATGAAGATGTAGACAGAGCACATATTCTTTCTTGGCATCTAATAATTTGTTTTGGCTGGAGAATATTGCTGGCTGAGTTGCTGCCATCCTGCAGTTGATGCCAACCTCGGGTGTCCAAGTTGATGAAGAACAGCGACATCGATGCCAACCTTCAGGCAAATACTCGACCGCAGGAACTAAAGAAGACACGATTCATGAGGAGTGCTGTTAATGCCCGTATTCCATCATTCTGCAGACCGAGCAAGTCTCGAGGCACGACTAGATCTACTCCTGATGGCAAACACATAGATTAAGATTCTCACGCTTCCCATTTAGTGTTGTTCTACTTGTTGTTATTCTCCCTCGTAGCCTACGTAAGAATGACAGGCACATCCGGTGAGCAGAGACATGATAATATCATCAACGAGCACAGCACATCCAGAAAGAATCACAAGTAGGTTTCCAAACAGTGGATGACGCACTACAGGAAGTAAAACTGCCCAAATCTATGGCCCAACACACAAACGAGCCTATCCAAAATCTCCCATACGTGCAATTTTTTGTCTGCCACACTAATGGACGCATAATATGTTTATTCAGATATGTAGTTCAATAAATACGAGTATACACGAAGAAAAACTCAAGAAACACTAACGGTTTGGAAGAACAATGCGTGGCATTCCTTGCCGACCAAAGTCATGAGATTGTCTGCGTTTGAAGTATCGCTGAGAACGATCATCACTTGTTGCGTCGCTCGCTCTGGAGTCCCGTTGAGACCGTGAAGTTTCTCAGGCTGGCTTCATCTCTCGAGTGGGTCTCGAAGAATACTACCAATCCCTGCAGTTGGAAGCACAAGGAAGCGTCACGATCTCCCCGTTAAAACGTCACATTATGGTGCACAAAAGCGAAGAGAAAGGGGCATTGAAACCGAGTTACGGACAGCAGGTGACCCTCCCGAATCGCCACCTTCGTTCAGATCGGCGTGTTGTCTTCCGCATTGCCCCCTCCAAACCTCTTATCCGCCGTCTCCTACGTTACGAACTCGCCCATGTGCTCCACGACAGAAGCTGCTGCAGTGCACGGTTGAGGAGTATGATGTGCAGCATCCACCGGCCGCAGCTGCAGCTGCAGCTGCAGCTGCTTCACCATCTCGTCCGTGAGGTTTCTCAAGTCTCTGCTACTTCGTAGCTCGTCTTTGCAGCAGCTTCCTTAATGCAATTCCAAACTTTATATATATCTATTGTATATACATAATATTTAGATAGCAGATCTCGGAATCATTTCCTGTTTATTATTCTTGGGTTGATGTGGTAGTGAAGGTGAATTATTATTGCTATTCGTTACTTGTTGGTGGTGGTGAGTGACTACTGGTATGCGTCGTTGCAGTCCAATGGGTAGCAGGTGCCGTCGCCGCCGGTGTTCCACAGGAAACGGGCGTAGTTGGCGTTGTGGACGCTGTTGCTGGGATCCGCGTCAATGGCTTCCAAGTAGGTCTCCTCCGCGGCCACAAGGTCCTTCCTGGCCAGCCACAGGAAGCTCGCGTACCGACTCAGTGCCTCCGCGTCCGCCGGCTCCAACCCCGCTGCCTTCTTGAAGTAGTATTCCGCCCTGTCACATGCCCGTCATCCACACCCGTCGGAGTCCGCTTTCCGGGTTTGATACATTTCGACAAATAGCTTGCGATAGTGGGGAAGGAAGCGGGGACCGGTTAGTGTCGTGCCTTTTACCTGTTGTGATCGCGGAGGACGAGATAGAGGAACTGAGCAAAGTTGGCGAGCAGAAGAGCGTTCTCCGGGTCTTGCGACAGGGCCTGCTGGTACATGATCTCCGTCTGCAAGTAGACCGGGTAGTCGTCGGGCGCAAGCTCCACCGTGATGGGCGAGACGAGCCGCAGCAGCGTCTCCCGGTCCATGAGCGCCGCGTCCCTCGCGTCCGCATTCATCCTCGAAACTTCCTCCAGTATCCCTTTCCAAACTCTCGCTTCCTCCGCCTCCTCGTCCACCGTCGCCTCTGCCACAAACGCGTCCTCTCCCCCTCCTCCCTCTTCTGTGTTCACCACTGCCGGCGCCCTCGACGTGCCGTCGTAAATAATTTTTCGGTACGATAAAGATACGTCATCCGATCGCCCATCGTCCGTGGCCCCCGCCACCGGCTTCGCGTTCCCTCCGCCCCCCGCACCGGTTCCTCCGATGGAAGCGGTCCTTTTTCCGATCGAAGAGAACAACCTGATGGAGGAGCGTTCTTCGTGGTTTTGGCCAAGGTCTTCCATCACGACCATCGACTGGATCGGCGGATTGGGCGTGGCCATGGCGGCGTCATCGAGGTGGCCCATGGAGTAGACGGTGAAGTTGGCGAGCAGGAGCATGACGGAGACCATGAGGGTCGGGGTGCAGGAGAAGATCTGCTGGAAGAGCCAGACGAAGGAGAAGTTCATCTCCCGCTGCACCCGCGCCAGGATCCCCTGGATGTCCTCGCGGTAGATCACCTCCCGCATTTGGAGCGTGTGGTTCTGGAGCTCGCGGATCATGAACACCATGGTCGAGAAGGCCCGCTTCACCGAGCAGCAGGCCGACTCGCCCGCCTCCAGGAACCACCCCTCCTCCCACCGCTTCTTCCGCTTTATGATCCTGAGCGACAGCGGCAGCTCCATGCTGTTCGCGTTCTTCTCCACGCTCGCCGGCACGATCTGGTCGCGCCAGTCTGGCGACACCGGGAAGACGGGGAGCCACGGCGGCTCCGTCGATGGCTCTTGCTTCTTCGATTCGGGCGGAGACGAAGGCGCGGGTCTCGAATCGGAGCAGAGGGACGCAGTGGTGGCCAACACATCACCTTCTTCACTCCACGACTCAGAATGGATCGCGTCGTCTTCGCTGCCATCACCTTGTTGCCGTTGGAGATCGAGGGCCGTGTCCTCGAGCCTCTGCCCCAACACCTCATTTTCGTCCTCGTCCTCGTAGTCGCCACCCTTCACCGCGAAGCGCTCGATGCTGGCGCTGAAGGCCCGGCGCAGGACTCGCTCCTGGCTTCGCCTTCCTCTCCCCCACAGAATCTCCAGCGACCGGGTCCTGCACAGCTTGGCCGAACCGATCCCGAGGAAGGGCGAGGCGAAGAGCCGCTTAACCGGAGACGAGGCCACGGCGGGGAAGGCGGCCCGCGAGGCCGTCGGGGTGTTGGTAGGCGTCAGGTGCGGCCGGTGCAAGCGTGTCCCTGCGGCCTGAAGTCCCATCTCCGCCAGCCCTCGTCCTCCCCCCTTCCCCCCTGACGACCCAAACCGAACGCAAACCGGACTCGTTCAAAGTCAAAACAAGAGATGCCACAAAAGAATCGCCGACAACTGCAGAAGAACGCAAAACAACAGGCCCTGGATCCCCCCACGATGGCCACCACCGCCCCTCCAACGCATGAGTTCACAATGGAACGACAATGACGTAGGGAAGAAAAAGAGGAAGAAGATAACAACTTGCCGTGCTCACCGACGAAGCCTGGCGGTCTTCCGACTATTTGGGATCTGGGAGAACGACGAGCGGCAGGAGAACAAGATGCAGTCCAAGCCCATCTTGGCCCGATGAGGTGTCGCAATAACTCCGTCATGTATTTTTCTACACCACCCATTCGTATCGGTACGTTATTCCAGACTTGGTGATTGGGGGACTCGACACTGACCCGACCATGGATGGAATTGAGCTCCCTCGCGAGCCTGCCCGCGTCAACTTCTTCCTCTTCGAGGAGACACTGTCAGCTGCACGCAGACATCACGAGAGACGGTGCACTTCGCTCGTACCCATCGGAGCACGACCTGAAATCGACTGCGCTTCTGGTTATTCCAACAGGAGATGGGCGGTGTCCAGATGAGGATACTGTGGAGAGTAGACGATGATGGGTACGCCATCGACATCAACGTCGAACGAGAACGCCATGCCAAGATATAATATACCGCAGGTCTTGATTCTCTGCGCGACTGTTTCCAAAACCATACCCTCGGATGTCTCTACAAAGGGTGATCATAGTCGTGCTTTCCCTTCCAAAAGAAGTTCAAGTGGTATAAGAGAACACGGATCAACAGTCCAAAATAAGCTGTTGAATTGAATTGATCGCAAGAACAACAACAATTCATCGACAACATAGTTATGTTCTTCTGCAAGTATAATCTACTTACAAATAAAGAATCGAACAACTTCTAATTTCAAAAATAACAACAACAACAATTCATCAACATCATAGTTATGTTCTTCGGCAAGTATATAATCTACTTACAAATAAAGAATCGAACAACTTCTGATTTCAAAAATAGATGTAACATGACATTGTGTTTTTCAATTTGCTGTAACTCAGGCACAGGATATCAATTTGTAAAAACAGTATCTGAGGTTGCTGAAATTTTCAGGAGCAATATTCTGTTGGATGTCTTTAGAACCGTTATGACTGGCAAATGACACCTTTGGAATCAACAAAAACAACAAACACAATATGGATGCCAACTCCCTTGAGCTCAGATATTATCCGAAACGTAACAGATGGTACAACGACTCAGCTAAATGCAGCGGATCTGGTCTTATCTCAGAGCTTCTCACGCAGGATGATCAGAATCTCTCCACCCTGATCGATAACATTGTTCAAGAATTCTCTCATCTCTTCTTGATGCTCGAATGACACTGGTGAAGCGAGATCACTGTCTAAGTTGTACCATACACCATTGATATTGCGCAATGAGACCCAATGCCTGCCACTCCAAACCCCCCCGAACCTCCTAACAGGGATGTTAAGCATTATACCCAACAAAGATTCCTCAGCGAGGTTAATGGAAGAAGCTCCATTTCGACGATCATGCCAAACGACCCTTTTCCTTCTGGACTCCAGTGCTGCAATTAGCACATTGACATCATAGTTTCCAGTAAAGACATTGTGATGGGGCTTAAAGATTAATGATAGGGGAGTCCATTGGCTTCTGAAAGGATCATCGGCCAAAAGTTTCTCTGCAATGGCATCCAACTCAGCTCGACGAAATGAGTCCTTTTCCTTAACCACAAAGAACAAATTGAATTTTACAACCACATCACGTATTGCACACAAAAAATTACAAGTTGCTTGATCCCATATAATGACAAAAAGAAAGACACAAAAAACTTACCTGCATCAGGTTATTGAGTGCGTGCAATAGACAAAACTGCAGTCTCTGCTTCTCATGATAGATAGGCTTTTCATCCATACCTATATCATGCAAAAATATGGCTAGCACGCTTCAGAAGACAAAATTAGTAAATATGTGCACCAGGCTAAATTTATGTTACAAAATTACTGATTAGGGTCACCTGAATCCTTATACCAGAGAAAGCTTCCTATCTAATACTATACAAACATGCAGCCGAGGCAAACCTGTTCCAATGTGCCCAAGATATGTTATTTTCTTAATCTCCGAGCTAAATAATAGATTCGATGAATACCTTATGTTAAAGATTCTTTTTTCAACCATCAGGAATATCTATGAAGGCTCAAATGGACAACGCATGCATGCAACAAAATTTGATAAAGTTGAATAAATATTGATTTAAGAATTTGGAAACAAAGGGCTTGGAGAAACTTCGGATATCTGAAATGCTTTGTCAGGCAGAATATTCCAAGAGAAATGAAAATTCAGGTTATTACACAAAGAACAAATGTTTGGGTCATCTTTGCATCACAAAAAGGCTCTCCGACCAACCATTTCAAAAGAATAATCAACTAGGACTATTGTAAATGAATATCAACCAAAAGTTTGACCCCTTCTAAATGAAATAATTAGGTTCAAAATGAAGCGCTTACGTAAGCTGCTCTAGTGCAGTGCCGAAATATTTTCAACTGAAATTAAAGTTTCTTTCAATCAGAAACCAATTACGTAAAACGTTAGTAAAAAAACCGAAACAAGAACAATCTCAAGTGCCAAACTTGTGCCTCTAGCAACACATAATATGGTGACAATTAATATGTATAATATGACCCTATAAACACCATGCATAAAATGCAATCTTATAATTCAAAGCAACAAGTACTATTTTCGTCAAAGACTAAAACACAGTGCAACATGAAATTATAAATAAACATAATTCAATAATTTTAATATTAAAATTTGAAACTAGTCTCAGGCTTACTCAGTAGCCAATATAAATATGGTGTTACTTTCAATCAAAATATAAATTATATTCAGATTATTCCCAGGCGTCTAATAAACCTAAGCCATACCAAACTTCAATTGCTCCCAATTTCCAATTTTCAACTTTCAATAGTAAATTTTGAGTTTATTTATGACAACTCGTCGCACTGTGGTTTGACTTTTAGCAGTAAGAAACCGTCTAGAATCTTAAGATTGATGTGTTGTGCGGTTAGATATGTCACCGATCATGGTAATCTTATATATTTTTGGAGACATCACTCTTGGTGCTTAAGATTGTCGCGATTTCCTCACAGAATTTTAACATTATCCTATGTTATCCACGTAAAACAATTAAATCAACAACGACGAGAATCGGAATGGAAAGACAAGGAAGGCCAAGGATCCACACCTCGAACTTGTAGGTTTTCGACTTCAAGTAGGCCTGATTCCTGTAGAGGGTCAAAACCCTAGACCGGAGAGCGGGGAAGGACCGACCCAGGTTCCGTAGGCCAGTAGACAGGAAGCGATGGAGGGATGCGGTTCTCCCAATCTCGTTTCTTTGGATGATCGGAGGAAAGCGTAAGCAAGGCGGCGGAAGAGAATGAAGAAAGGGCGCGCGACGGCGAGCAGGACGGGAAATGAGAGAGGGAGAAGAACGGGCACGCGAGGGGTCGGCTATCACCCAATAGTCTCCCTCGCAAGAAATGGGATCTGACGGTTCATACGTCGTAAGTAAGATTCAACGGCTATGATTTACTCTCGGCTATGCCTCTCCCGTGCTTATCCGACTTAGCTTGGGTCCCACGTCACCTACAAATAAATAAATTGCACCATATAATGCTTGTTCGAATCGTTCATGTGAAGGCCTCTCCGCACGACTACAATTACGACTTATCTTACGACTAGGAAATGTGGCATCAACCACAAATGTATTCATATATAAAAATAATGGTTGAATACCCATAAGCATATGAGACATCATTAATTAAGAATATATAATTTCTATGCAACACGAGTGCAACCGCGAGGAGGTGATGTGGATCAAAATTGCTGGGCTATTGGGCCTGCAAGAACTCAGGCTCCGTTGCGGGTTTCGGATTCCTCGTCTTAAGGTCTACTTACGACCCGTACAGTGGCAGAGCGAGGCCCAAGCAAGGGCGGAAGGCGAAGAGGGAGATGGAGAAGGCGAGGGCGATCCTGTCGGTCGGAGAAGAAGAATCGGAGCGGGTGGCGCGGCTGGACGTCCGCCCCCACCGCGCCGGACACGCGGCCAGCTTCTACGAAGGCTTCGCCACGCGAGGGTTACGGGTCGACTGCATCCGCCCTGGCTTCCTCTCCTGCACCTTCAAAGTCCCCCCTCGTCTCACCGTGAGTCCTCTCGCAGCCGACGGACTCTTGATTCACTTGACGCCGCGATCTGTTGACTATAGATGTTCCAGCTTCCCCCGATTTGGATGCACTCGTTTATTTGCAGGATGCTGGAGGGAATCTGTCGCCGGGAGCCATCGCGAACCTGGTGGATGAGGTGGCCGCGGCTGTCATCCATTCCGAAGGTCACCACATGAAGATCTCCGTCGACATGTCCATCTCGTACATGTGCGCTGCCAAGGTCGATGTAAGTACAGATCCTCTCTTCCTCGTTAGCAATTTCCCCCAAATGTTTATGCCGTCTCCGCCCAGTCGATCTCGAGCAATCGCAATCTATTTATAATTCATTACCTTGCTTCCATCTCCGTGCATGGTCTTGAATCTCGGATTGCATTCACAGAGTCTCGCTCGATCAAGATGTTTCCATGGTAAGAATGATGCATACTTAGATTTCTTTTTATCGATCCCAAAGGCGGCAGAAGCAATTGAAATCCACGAGCAATAATAGAATGGGGTCTATCTAAGGTTAATTCGTGCCATTCACCCTTGCCCAGGATGCCGCCATCTGGATTGCCCCAAGAACAGTAGTACACTTTTGGTGCATCCTGTGTTTATCCCCAGCCTGAAGAGCTTTCATCCGCTTGCATTACAATGTTGAAGTTATTAGATACAATACAAATTGGTGCTGCAAGAAAAGGGTGTCTAGAGAGAAAATGGGGAATATAATATTGCACAAGGGAAATCAATCAACATGTTGCCATGAACATGGAATGTAAAGGTCAATTGATGATTGGAAAGGTGTTTGGGATCATTAATCGAAGTTGAGGGTGGTAGGAGGAGTCTTTGCCATTCCATCAATGGATGGTTTTATGCAATTCTTTGTCTCCTATACTCCCATCTTCATATCCTCTTTTGTTTTGGCAAGCAGGATGAACTAGAGATCATATCGAAGGTTTTGGGGCATAAAGGTGGCTACTCAGGAACGTATGTGTTACTCAAGAACAAAGCAACGGGAGAGGTTGTTGCCGAGGGCAGGCATTCGTTGTTCGGTAAACTTGTAAGCAAAATCTAAGTAGCCCGTGATTAGATTATGCTACTTGTTTTTTTAGATTATTACATCAAATGACGACGTATATGATGCTCGTAGTGGACTCGATAATACAGTAATCAAGTCGTAGTGTATATTTCCGCTACTTTTCATGTATTTGTGATACATTTTGGATGTAATATACACAAAAAGAAGTTCTTTTCTTTGTTTTGTTGTTCTTCAATTTGCTTTTACCAATATGAATGCACAGATTTGTATAGATTCAGCTCTGTTAGCTTCTGCTCTTGATCACGATGGAACGGGAGTTGTTGACACTCAAAGGTAGCTAATTTCTTTGTGGTGGAATGCAGAGAAATGGGACGATGATATCACACTTGTAATGCTGCCATGCACTTGGCAGATGATTTCGATGTGATGATATATACTGATGACTGCTCAAGAAACTGAAACTGGGCTTTGATTCAAAGTAAATATGTATCATGTGATGATGTACTGATGACGAAGCTTTGCTTTCCTCTTGTCTACTTCTCTATACGAATGCATGCCTTTTGTCTTTGCCTGCCTCGGAATCTCACATTACAGCAAGGTTTTTCTATTCCCGAAGCAGAGGAGGCCGTCAGAAGAAACTCTCGTCGTCTTTACAGCGATCGAGCGAGGGAGCTTTCCCAGAACTGCCACCTTCCTCTTCTCTGTGCAAACCCCTCCTGCTTCAGATGCTCCTGTGTCGCTTCATGCACAAGCATCCCGGAAGAGGATTCGCATAGAAGTACTCTTCCTGTCTGGGGATCCCTTCGGTCCTCCTCTCGTACGGCCCTCCGAGCCTGTTCTTGTGATCTCTCTTCACCTGCTCTTCCAGCTTCTTCCAGCTTATGGCACCCTCGTCCAGCTGATCCATCAGCTTCACTAGCCTCTGCCTGAGACAATCGCAAACGTGAGAAGAAAGGTCGGCCGAAGCAGGAGGAGGAGATGGAGCTGCGGGCGTACCTGTCCGGGTTGATGGTCTTCCGGAACCCCTCGAATCTCCTGTGCCCTTGCACCGCTTTGGCCATGTTCCCGTCGTAGGTGTACACGAACACGTCGCTGCGGAGGGCGACGATGTAGTCGAGCGCCGCAAGCCTGTTCTGGTACCCCTCCAGACCCTCCAATTCCTCGGCGGACGTCAAGCTGTGGTGGGTGTAGATGTTGGGGTACTCCGCCGTCAGCGTTTCCATGCTATTCGCGCCGTAGATTTCTCCGGCCACGATGTAGATGCTGGTGGTGGAAGGGTAGCCCATGGCCTTGAGGAAGATGGCAGCTTCGCGCGGCGTCATGGGGCACCCGCCTTGGAGCCGCTTCTCCTTGCTATCGATCTCTTTCTCCTTCCAGTGCTTCACCCCGTACCTCATCGCCCTCAGCTCTTCCGCCTCATGGGACGACAGGTTGTGGCTGCAGCCGGTGAACGACAGCATGTCCTTCTCGTACCTTCATCCATACGCACCATGAACTGTCGTCATATAACACATCCAGTCGAGATAACCCCAACCGAGAACAGCTCGATCTATGTATGTACCGGAGATGAAGAGCGATGTAGTGGTCGCTGCCATTTCTCAATCTACGGACCAATGTCTTCCCCAGCTCTTCGATCTCTCTCGTGTATCGAAGCGCTCGGTAGTTGGCACGGCACCGAAGTCTCTGAATCGAAGGGGGAAGGCCATTGTTGGCGAGGCGGGAGTCTGTGTAGGTGAATTCTATCACCCGACGCCTGCTCAAGACATTAGCGAAGCTCTTGAAGTAGGAAGCCTGGGAGACGAGGAAACCTGTTGGGTAGAGAGAAGGAAGGACTGGAATCGCCGCAATCTGGATGCATGCCTACCTTAGACCAGGAGATGGGAGCCCTCTTCAGCGGCTTCGTCTTGGCGTATCGCCGGGGGAGGGATCCCACCACGGAGATGTCATCCTTGAGAGCTTCCACGAAGTGTTTGACATCAAATATGTCCTTGAATTCACTGCCAAAATGGAGATCAAGCATTGGCCCAAACAAATATATATATATACGGAATGCGTTCGTTACCTTGGATCTGTCCAAAATGATTTGTGATCTAAGAAGGGCAACACAAGCGTGGCGTTCATTAGCTTTGCTACCGCAACCATGTCGCTTATCTGCATGCATGCATGCGTGTAAGTAAGATTGCAACATCCGAAATGACGTATTGATCTAAACTCTAAAAAGTCCAATGAACACAGGAAGAATAACGTACTCCCATTCTCATCTGGTTAAGTCCTCCGTTGGCATGAACAATAAGATAACCCACCGTTGCATTGCATGTGTCTACAAATGCAAGATTCCATGGCAGTGGTCGCGTCGCTCCACGATAACTATCTCAAGTATACGAACGCAATGAAACTTACTGACTTACCGCATTTAGCTTTTGGACGATTGATGCATTGTCGGTAACCTTTATTGTTTGGATTCATCCAAATCTCAGGAATCTGTAAACACATCAAAGCATCTTTTTTGAATCAGTGCAACAATGCTAACGGTTCATTTCTAAGCATAAACCAAATCAAAAAGAGAAAGAAATGGTAAAGAGAAGATGATGGAATGATCATAGAAGCGAGAATGGTGTGAATGAACCCATGGAGAATCATCCAAAGCATATTGTTGCATGCGTATATATATGCCTTCCGACAAGGGAAGACGAATCTGTGAAGCTAGCGAACGACATGATGTATGACCAAGGCGGATAGGGAATACAGGAAGATGAGGCCTTCTCTGTATGCTGGTGGCGTTCTCCAGCGTCCAACTCGACGACTCGTCTCGCATCACGCTGCCGATCTGCAGCACCACGTCCTTGTTCTCCTGGGAGCCGCCGATGCGTGCGGTGCCGAGGAGAACGGTGGCGGCCAGCATGGAGAATAGGGCCAGAGCCAACAGCCTCATCCACGCATTCCTACCCCCCGGCCGCCACCCGCCCCTGCCGTGCCGAAGCAGCAGCCGCCGCGAGAAGAGACCGTGCCATCCTCCGAGGGACCCTGCATGGTCGCGGGCCTCGCCGTCCTCGTCTTCCTGGAGAGCCCTCTCCGGATCGCTGAATTCCGGCTGCCGCCGCCTGGTGGGGCCAGAGAGGATGGGGCTGGTGGCGGTGGATGCGGCTGCACTTGACGGGACGGACCCGGCGGCGATCATGACCGTTGGGAGCGGGGAGCGGAGGGCCGGGCGTGTGAGAGCGTTGCACCGAGGAGGACGGGTGGGGGGGAAGAGAGGGATTGGAGGCGGGGAGAGAGGCGTGGAGACAACACCGGGAATCTTGACGGTGATCTCTGGGGTCTGTGAACCGTTGCTTCTCCCTTCTCTCTTTCTTTTCTCTCTCTCTCTCTCTCTCTCTCTCTCTCTCTCCTTGGTTTTGCCGCGACGGTGAATGGGCGTCCCGGAAATGGTGGCGGCGTAGGACGTGGTGAGGTGAACAGAAGCGCTCACTTGCGCTCACGTCTCTGCTTCTTTTGACTTCGCCGTCTCCCGATCCATCCATCGATTTATCTCCCTCTCTCTATGTACGATTAACGTGAATCTAATTCGAACGAGGCAAGCAGTGTATATCCAGGAGGTGTCAGAGGAAAACTAAGATCATGAGAGGTTTTCGATTCCATCTTATGTTAAAAATATTTTTTTATATACGATCACCTTTCTATCCATAAATGAGGAGAATAATATTTGTAATTATCGGTCTACTTTCCATTCATTTCCACCCCTTAAATTACACCTATTTGTATATATCATGTTATATATATATATATATATATATATATATATATATATATATATATATATATAATATTAGGACAACTTAAGGTTGTATACACGTGCCATTGTCATAACGTTTCTTACCGTTGGCGGATTGCAATGCATGCTGTAGACGATACGCAAAGCAGGAGTCAAATCAACTGCAAACTAAAAGGAGGCCGACAGGGTAAAATTGGGATCTTATAATGAATAATTAATGAGATGTACGTATAAGGCGGCCAGCCGTTATTGATATGCCACGAATGTGGCGCTCGCACCAACAAAAGGAGGGTTTGCGTCGGATTCACAGCCAAACGCTTCGATAAATGGAAGAACGAACAAAGGAGACGGTTGCGTTCTGTCCTTTGTCCCTCCCACCGCGGCCTTTCTGTATGATCTGCCACAGCTGTTCGCAGTCAATGACACCACGTCGCTTTGTGTTCGACGTGGTACTCCACCTCGCGATTTCCACCGGGCGAGCAACTCGGCGGTGGAGTCATCCTCTCGCATTCATATTCAAAACAATACACGTATATAATTCCCATTGGACTGTGATAACTACGATGGATGATTGAGAAATTTATGTGTGTCGGTGTTCACACGTATGAGTCCGACTCTGAAGGAAAAAACAATGTATAAGTTCCTTAAATGCAAATCCCAGAATGATTAATGTACACGATTACATATTTATGTATACAGATTATTTTCGAGATTCAATCCCGATCATTATACCGTGACCCATATTTCATTATACATGAATATATTCATAGTAAAAGAATAAAAAAGAATGATCCCAGGGTTCAACTATTCCACCCTTTAAAACAGCAAAAAAAATAGTGTAAAAAAAGAAGAAAAAAAATTAATTTATGACCTCGTCCGAGTAAGAGAGTGTGTAATAAGCCAATGAGGATGAGTCGTGAGATATATAATCAAGGTTAAATCGACTCTAAAATAAACAATTGGTGATGGATTAATACTTTATACCTCGGTTGATGCAAGTGCAAACCTGACCTTGACCTGACTCATCAGCATGTAATGTCGTTTGAGCCAAACCTTCGCATCTGCTTAATGGATGCCGACGGTGGGTCTGAATCAGCTGCAGGAATGAATACATATCAGCAATCTTCTATTCATGCTTAGTTCTGAAGTTAATTCAGGTTGTTTAAGAAGAACTCAGAGCTCTAACTCGATATTAAGCAACAAGTTTTGGTGCGACCAGAAGCAGTAACTAGTAAAAAAAAATTATATGCATAATTCGTGTGCAAATTCAAGTGTTTAATTTTTTCTCTTTTTGTTGCCCACAAGACACAAACCAACAGGATGAATGATCTAATGATCTAATGCAAAGATATGGAATTCAAATGAAATGACTGATAATGTAGTAGTAGAGTTCATCGACAACAACTAATACAGGGATTAGTTGCTTTCTTCCACTTTTTCCCTTCTTTAATTTTCATGCTCGAGAGATAGATAGAGGAAAAACTATTGTAAAACAAGACATTTTTTCTTCATCATCAAGTACTATATGATGTACTAAATGCAAGCCCACTTCGCTGAACCACAAAATAGATGGATTGTAGAAAAATCAAAAGAAACAAACAAAACTATTTAGTTACATGGGCTGGATCACCAACTGATCTGCCACCTACCTTTGGGGAGGCATTCTTCATATAAATACTTTGATCCATATGGAAAATTCATTTTTTTTTCCTTTTTCTCCAGAATGGGCTTGTTGTCATAACACTCTCAAAGGCCACAGCACAAATCTGTCATGAATTAAGTGGGAATTATATTTAGTGAATCTTTCTGGCTGGACTACAAATTTCCAATATAAAATATAAAAGACCAACAACTAAAATTTTGACTTTTGTAGTAGTATAAGTTGATCAATGTGCCTCCGTCTACAACTAAAAGATGACACCTTGAGCAAAAAAAAAAAAAAAAGCATTTCTGTTACAAACAACTTAAATCCTAATCCCTAGATTAGGAAGTGCTAAAGCAAGGATATGAAACGACAAATAAATATTTAATGAAGAACCAACATACACAGATTCTCCATGGTTTTTACAGGAAGAACAAAGAAATTGCTTCACATCCAAACTTAAAATAACATGAGAAATATAAAGTATAATGAATATGGTCCTCATTGCGCAATAAGGGAATTGACAGGGAATACTTTTGAGGATAATAAAAAAAAGCTAGTGTATCTCAACATTCATGCAGCAGTCCAAGCGAAACAATCTTGAAGATGCAATTCTATAGCAGCAAAGAAATGCAGGTTCAAATAATATACTAATCAGCAGCATGAGTAGTTAGCAGGAAATGTCTCTCTAACTTAAGTGATGGTACTTTTTCCTCAATGTAATCTGAAAAAGGTAGCACGACCTAGATTACATAACAACCTCTGCACACATTAATGAAAGTCAATCACAGGATCCAGTGATCAAAACATAAAGATGACATTTTAATGGTGTCCTAAACGTACCAATTAAACTCGATGAAGACATGATGTGCTTCTTGATATCACATTGATGCATCCATAGGCGGCAAATCAGAGATACTGTTGCAAAAATTACAAGGACTCTTCTAAACATATTAAGAATGTGTATGCTGCATGCAAACATATCATTCAGGCTTCTTATATGTTCAGGCATCTTAGAACATACTCGAAGCATAATGGATACATACAAGATGTGCACAGTTTAACTAGAATGATAACAGAGAATTGTTAAGACAAAGCTAATGGTCACAGTACTAACTACTCAACTATGATGAGACCCACATGTTAAACGGTCACAATAAATCTGCTAACATGAACATGTTTCAGAAAGATAATCCTTTGTTGGGATGTGTTCAGCACCAGTTCATTCAAATATTATAATGGGAAGATTTATTGATGATTGGTAAGGCAGTCTGTATACGGAAGATAACAGTAAGGATCAAAAGAGACAAGCGGACTTTCACCAATTACTTTAACGAGAGAGTAAAAATTGCTAAATAGATTTAGCAAGTATTGTCAAGGTACTTGTACCTATATGAGCGTAGACAGACATGGCTTTTTCTTGCTAAAGCAATCAAAATTACAGGGTCGAGAGGGGATAAATGTAAAGATAAAATAAAATAAAGGAATATGGGAGTATGCAAGCGTAGAGAACACAATGTGAAAATCATATGAAGAGGTTCCAGTGATGATTAAAAACATCATAGGTTATGGTCACTAATAAATATTTAGGCACGGAGGGTGGTTAGTTGGAACCAAATGTCTAAGAACACTATATAAAACCATTTCCATTCAATTGTAATAATATATGAATCGACCAGCAAATATAATGCAGAAAGCATATAAAATGGTTTTAGTGATGATTGGAGACATTGTATGCTTAACAGCTATTGAAGGATATATAGGCACAGAAGGTTACAAGTTAGAAATCAGCGATGAACACTACAAAACCAGTGTCCTTCAAACTTTACAAGTTATATGAACCACCTAGTAACACTTAGAATAGAATAGCTTCAGTTCAACACGAAGAAATCAACAAACGAGAAAGCGAACGCCATGTCAAGTATACACAAAGATTCAAAGATCAAAGGTTGAACCAAAAGGAAAACAATGTCACTATAGTATGAACATTCATGAAATGGATTTCCCATATACAACTAAAGGCACTTTAGCAGTCAGAGAGAGTGAGACACTATGTAGCGCCATCTCAAATTGACAGGACACAAGAAAACAGTAAAAGCTCTGTATGCTAAAGTGGGGTATATTGAAGAACACGTACAGAATCATGGAAAACAAATGCACCAATTAAGGGATGAGAATTCGGATTAATGCTGAGGATAGGTGGGAGGAACTTGAAAACAGTTCACTAGAATGTTTTAAAAAGATTCTGTGGTCCTTATACTGCCCTCGGTATAGCTTAATGACAGGAAAAGATCCAATGACCCAAATAAGATGAGATCCCAAAAGCCCTTTAGCGAATTCTTATTGATTGAGTTCTCAGAAACACCACAAAGGATCACCTCCAAAGAGACAACTAAGATTAATGCATATGGTAAAGCCAGGAAAATAGCACTTTAAATGAGCGCATTAAAAACACTCAATAATTGCATAAGTAGCTCATGGAAAAAAAGCATTCCAGCAGCGATCATTACATCATATACTTTGTGGCATGCAAAACAGAAGGATGGTCCTAAAATACAAAACAAGGACGCAAGAAAAGCTGAAAACAACTCAAAAACGTAAGATAATACATGTTTGACTAGCTATCTATCAATATCTGCTATAGCATTCAGCTACATTGTGTTCGATGTCCAGTTTAATTAAATAGGAATTATGGACGAATGAAAAACAAATTTAGATATTGCTCTATCATGGGGAAAAAATCATAATTAAGTGCTCATAATGCAAAGTTCAAACAGTTACCATGTACTTTCAGATAAATCTAAGATCTCATACAACTATTCCAACTCCTGCCTGACGATGTAGAAGTAGAGCTGTCCATGATTGTTCCAGAAGTCGCCTTGGTGAAGAAGCATCTCTGTGGCCCCTGATTACGGACAGACCTGGAGCAACCACCCGACGGCCTCCTCTCTCTGCCATTGCTGCGGGTACGAAATCCGGCGAACCCGCCGATCGAGTTTGGATCGAAGCTGCCGCTGCAGATGCAGAGGGATCGACGGTCAATGCCCGGATCGAACACGCAAGCGCCAAAAGGGCGTGGGAAGAGATCCGCAGCCTCGAGTACGAAGCAGCCATGGAGATCGGTGGTGGAGGAGGGGAAGCGAAGCCCTAAGTTTGGCGAGAGGAGAAGAGGAGGCAACGGCTCGGGGGCAGAAGGAACGGAGAAGAAGAGTGGCGGGTGGGGTCGGGAATGGAGAAGGGAACGATGGATATATAACGAAATAAGCACCGACCGTGGCTGACACTGGTCGTGGCGCTGCAATTAAGACGGTTAGCACTCTAACTGCACCGACGCAAGTCGAATCCCTATTATGGCACGATCTGAAGCGTCCATCTTGAGGTGACGCCACGCGTTTACCATCCGATATAAGTACGCACATTCTTGGCGGTGCGAGCCCCGATTGTGATCGCTCCTAATTACATACCTTTAAAATCAATAAAAATATACTAATAAATAATAATAATATATTTTTAATATTCGATGACGAACGATAATGTTGTTGGCGTTGACGACGACATCGTTGTTTCGTCACTTCCGACAACGATAAGGTCTGCTCTCATCGTGACGCCATCCGCCTCCATAATGAGCACACCGTCAATCACATCACCGATCGTCCTGCGTCAATTTACAAATGTGTCGACACTAATGTAGTTGTCAAGCGATAACTACATCGATGTTAATACAGATAGTGGTGATCATCATGGCGTTTACAAAGAATGTGGTAGCCGCCTCACCATTGACCCATTCGATATATCCCAACCTTGTCTTAAAGCTGAGGTTCTCGGAGCTTCTATCGCTCCCCCTGTTACTGCGTCTATTCTGGCACCACCTCTTATTGAGTAGTTATCTCGATGCCTTATATCTGCATCGATATCGACGCAATTGCTGAACGACAAAAGGGTTACTTTGTATCTTACATTAATGTCAATGCAGGTGTAGAGCGACAAAATTGTCGCTTGACGAGATGTGTGCTAGTCATAGGTGTCATGCAAGTCAATCACATGAGTGATGACATATGTGATATGATACACACTCTTTTTGTTTATTATATTATTTAACATTTTATCACTTTATATTACTTATTGCATTAATATATATTATGATATTCATGGATCTCTACAATGAGAATCGAATCATGATGAGATCATGATAATGAGACTGATTCGTCTTTAAACATAAATCTTAAATAATCCTGGTCATATGTTACTCAGAGGGAAATCAAGATAATCGGACATACTGGTGTACTATATACTAGTACATATAATAAAAGTAGTTAGTCTCATAGTTGCTCGTGCGGGGACACTATGGATACAACATAAGTGTTCAATGGAGAATGAGTTCATTGATTAATTCACTCACGGAATTCTAGATGGTTGATGATGCCTTATTGTCAGACAATGATTCCATAGTCCGGGTGGTATATCTTGTCCTTAGACTTGAGATGCCAATAATGTCCTATATAAGTAATTTACTCCTTGATATCGAACTTATAGATTTAAAAGTTTCAAATATAGTACAGTCGGTCATCGAGAGTGGCATCCAACCTTATGAGGGCTATTGAATATCGACAGTGCTAATCATAGGTGTCTTGTAAGCCAATCATATGAGTGATGACACGTGTGACTTGACACACAATCTTTTGGCTTATTATATTTTGATATTTTATTACTTTATATTGATTGTTATATATACACATGTATATATTGTGATGTCCTTAGATCTGTGCAATATGAATCGGATCATGATGAGATCATATTAATGAGACTGATTCTTCTTTAAACACAGACACTAAATAATCTCGGTCGTAGGTTACTCGAGAGGGACATCGAGATAATCGGATAGACTGGTGTATTGTATATTCATCCATATGATGGATGCGGCCGATCTCATAGCTGCTCGTGTGGAGACACTAGGGATACAGTACAAGTGCTCATTAGATAATGAGTTCATTGATTGATCCGCTTACGAAATGTTGGATGGTTGATTAAACCTTTTTATTAGACATCAATTTCGTAGTCCTAATGGTGTATCTGATCTCTATAGTTGAGACACAGAGGATGTCTTGTATGAGTACTCCACTCTTTAATACTAGACTCATAAGTCTGAAGGTTCTAAATCTAACACAGTTGGTCATCGGGAGTGGTAGCTAATCTTACGAGGATTATTGAGTATTGATAAAGGACCATCTATTCTCGATGTCATGAAAGGAATATTTCATGTGTTTTTGCTCAGACAAATCCCTAGCTGTAATCATTCAGAATGAGAGAGAAAAAGTTCTCCGGGAGAATCCAATTATAGCGAGACTCGGGGAGAAACCGTATGAGTTTAACATCATCATACCTGATATACGATATTTGAGATATTAGATGGATGATAGAATATATATATATAATAATTGAGGATAGACAGGTCCAATGGATTGGATTCCCCTGTATCGTTTGGAAGCTGCGACGTAATGGCCTAGTACGTCCGTAATCGATGAGTCATAGTGAATTATTATGAAGATAATAATTCACTTAGCTATAATAAATTTTGATAGGTATGACTCACGACCAACTAGATATTGAGCCTAGAGGGTCACACACATATGATAGGCATTGCGATGAGTATAGGTTCATATATGAGATATCCGCTGGAGCCCTTATCTTATTGGATATCCAATGAGCCACTGAATTATTAGATCATATGGATAAGATCTAATAAGAGACAATAAGAGATTATTGAATATAGATCCACTAATATAAGAGGCTTTTATAGTTGGATGGAGATCCAATATCCAATAGGGTAGGATCCATTAAGGTTAAGTTGATAAGAGACATCTATAAATAGGAGGGAATCAATGGTTCATAGGCTAAAGCATTTTTAGGTTGTCATCTCCTATTCTTCTCTCCCCTTCTCCTCCTGAGATAGCAGGCTAAGAGATTTGAGGAGCATCGTCGCAGCCCTACTGTGTGGCACCACTAGAGAGGAGGACGTTTGATATCTTTCACCCTCTCCTATAGATATGTAGGGATTCAGGAATATACGATCTCCCTACCTAACACAATCTTTCATATACGTAATTTTAAGTTTCACGGATTTTACGCACCAATCTTCACACGACGACAAACACATTTTGGAAATTTGGGAGTTTGTTTGTATGTTCTTCTGCGGTGCATGTGATGTCGCCCCCATATTTCCCTACAGAAAGATGATCATCTGCTCTCGGTATCATGAACGGAATATCTCATTTGTTATTGCTCAGACAAATCTTTAGCCAAGGTTATTTGGATCGAGAGAGAAATAGTTATTCAGGAGAATCCGATTAGAGCGAGACTCGATGAGAAATCGCATGAGTCTGACAATACCATGCATGGTATACAATCTCTGTAATATTATATGGATAGGGGACTATAGATACACGATAAATAAGGACGGATATATCAAAATGATTGGATTCCTCTGTATCGTCTAGGGACTATGGCGTAGTAGCATAGTATGTCTGCAGTTGATGAGTCGAATAAATTATTATAAGGATAATAAGTTACTGAGTTTGAATAAATTCTGATAGGTGTGACTCACGACCAACTTGATATTGAGCTTAGAGAGTTACACACATATGATAAGTGTTGCGATAAGTAGAGGTTCAGATATAAGATATCCGATGAACCCCATATTTTATTGGATATCCAATAAGCTCATGAATTATTGAATTTTATTAATGAGAGATTATTTGATATAGATCCACTGATCTAATTGGCTTGGGTAGTTGAATGAAGATTTAGTACTTAATAGGGTAGGATCTATTATGGTTAAATTAATTGAGACCTCTACGAGGGAACCAAATGTCCATAGGTTAGATGCTTATTGATTGTCACATCTTATTATTCTCTTCTCTTCTCCTCCTTAGATAACAAGTGTAGAGATTTGAGCAGCGATTTATGGAGCATCTTTGCACTACCTGCCGTGTGAATTACCGCCAGAGAGGAGGACGCATAAATCTTCCCTAAATTTAAGTTTCATGGATTTTTATGCATAAATCTTCGAATACCTTTCTAAAAAATTTAGGGATTATGTTTTTTTGTTTTTTCATTACACGTGAAGTCACCCCTAGATTTTCCTACAACGTGGTGTCAGAACTAACACGACAACAGGAGAGAGCGATTAGAGCTCTGACATATCTAGCTTCGAGTTGAGGTTGAGTTGACAACACGACATGTAGATGTCGTGACAACTACATCAATATTGACATAGATGCAAAGGAACATGAGAGTGGATGGTGATAAGATCAATAGTGCACTTCTCATGGGCGACGTAGCGATGAAAACAAATCTCATCGTTGTCGAAGGCGACTAGACAACTATATCGATATCGATGCCGACGACATCGTCATGTATTATCGAACATTAAAAAATATATCTTTTATTTTTTGTTTTCGTTAATAAAATTAATATTGTTAGAATAAACGGATTAAATATTTTATTTTTATAATTATAAAAAATAATATAATTTTTTAAAGTATAAGGATAAAAATACTAAAGCTATATAACTACGGGTAACATATAATTAGTCCGCTTAATAATTCGTATGCTTAAGTCGTGCCGTAAGTCACGATCGCAGGCCCAGCTATTCCCCATAGCGGCGTCCGCAAAGCGAATCAAAGCGGCTGCAGCGTCTGGCGAAATATTGTTTTTGTGTCGCAACGATGCAGCCTCCCCAGTACCCGGTAGTCAATCAGAGCCGTGAATTTTTGCTTAGGGGGATCCAAACCGTCCCTTATAAGGGAGGCTTTAGGGTGAGCGGCCCCCGTCTATTAGTTCTCATATTTCTCCGCCCTCTCATCCCCACCTCGCTCGCCCTCTCTCCCTAGGCTTCGCTCTCTCTCCTTCGCTGCCACGCCCACTCTTTCCTCCGATCTAAAGAAACGTAGCAGCAACCGCATCTCGCCATTGTTTCCTCTCTTACTCGCCGGAACCCTAGGCCGGTCCTGCTTCGTCTTCTCCGGTCTAGGGTTTTAGCCCTATTCAAGTGCCCGTTTCCGAAACCCTAGAACCAGGTTCGGATTGTGGGCCTTCCTCCTCTTTCGATTCGGATTTCTGTCGAGGTCGCTTCGATTATTCTTGACGAGTTGCTTCGTTCTCTAGTCTTTTTTGTGTTCTTTAAATCTGCGCTCAACGGACCATGTGGATATGATCTAGTGCTTAGCAGTA